CGTCCCGATATTTGTCTTTGGTGATCTGGTCACCCTAGTCCTAGCTATTGGGGTGGCAAAGGCCCTCTGACTATACTGGGCCCATTTGGACAGACTCTGACACCTGCATCCCCACTGAATCATCAACCCCAATCACTCAAAAATCACGAGAGTGGCTTAAAAATCAGGAGATTTCTAAACAATACTGACTATTGGTTTTCCTTTGCCTTCTGGTCTCTGAGCCTTTTGCCTGCATTCAGGTCATATTTTCCAGGTTTTCTTTGCAGCCACAAAGGCTAGAAACTTACCTACTTTAGCAAGATAGGAACTGCCTGACTGGATCAGACCTAGGATCCATATCATTCAGTATCCTGTCTCTGACAGAGATCAACCACCTGCTGCTACGGAGGAAGGTGTAAGGACCCTCGAGTAAGCAGATGTGAGATAATCCGCCCCATGGAGCTCTCATTTTGATCCCTAATAGTAAGAGATTGGTTTAAACTCTGAAGCATGAGATTTAATTTTCCTTCCAAAACTTGTTGACATTAATTATGATAACTCTTGATATTCCTGTTGTCCATATAAATGTTCACTTCTTTTTTAATCATGTTAAATTATGGCCTCAATGACTTCCTGTGGCAGCGAACTCCACAGATTAATCACATATGTGAAAAAGTCTGTCCTTTTAGTGGTTTTTAATTTTCCATCCTTCATTTTCATTATTGTCCCCTTGGTCTGGTTTTGTGATACAGGCAAATTTTGCAACCTGCTATATCTAGACCAGTCAGTATTTTATATACTTTTATCATGTACCCTTTGATTCATTTCCTTTCTAAGGTAACAATCCCAATCTTTTCAGCCTCTCTTCAACTGAGAGTTTTTGATACATTTGATCTTAATTCTCTAAGCTTCTTATGGACACAGGGTGACCAATACTGCATGCAATATGCAAATGAGGCCACCCTATATAGAGGCATTCTAATATTCTGAGTATTACTCACCATCCCATCCCTTATGCATCCTAATATCTTGTTAGCTTTTTAATCTTTTTGGTTTAGACAATTTTAAGTGAAAACAGATTATTGAATAAATGTAAAATGCATAACTGCATAACTAAGGTAGTGGCATGAAGCCTTGGTTAATGAGGATTGTAAAACACACAGAAATCCTAACAGTCAGTGGCACAGCAGAGACTAAAACTCATGGTCTCTGGGTTTTAGCGCAGTACACCTTCCCCAGAGCTCCTGGGAAGGGGGAGGAGGAAGAAAAGATGACTGTCTCTCAAAAATGCATGGCATTTGACAAGTTCTGTGGTAAATGAAAGACCTGGAGAGGAGTGAGCATCCTGGTCTACACTACGACTTTAATTCAGATTTATCAGCTTTAATTCGAATTTATCCTGTAACCGTCCTCACAACGACGCTTCTCAACTGTGAGGGCTGCTCTCATCTTGGTTTT